TCTCTCTCTCTCTCTCTCTCTCTCCCCTGGATCTTGCCCTGGATACAACCGCTCAGCTCAGACTCAGACCTTGGCGGCTATGGCCGCCCTGCTTCCCTATGACTACCCTAGCTATGGTTGACGTTGGTGTTCCCTTCTTCTTTGAGTGCAGTCTTGCCGAAGTTGCTTGGTCACACATGGAGCAGCAGCGCTTCCACAACTTCACGAATGAACAACTGATGAGCTGCTGCACTGTAGCGACTAAATATAGGACTTGAAGCTTGGCCTGCTTCAGACCGGTACCGGTCAGCAACGGCCTGTCTGTTTATCATTTTGTTGGTCTGGTAGCTTCCGGACTTCCCTGGGACTTGCTGCAATTTTGGGACTGAACTGGACTGACCCTGGACTTGGACTTTTCTGTCGGGTACCGCAATATTCTACAATGGCCCGACTTTTCCAGATGTTGGCCCGACAATTCGACCTACGACGCCTAACGGACCTAGCCTACTGGGACACTGGGCCTTGGGACTTAGGGACTTTTGTGCTGGGCTTTCAAGTGTCTGCAGCGTGAAATCCTTTCACTGTTGCTGTTGCTGTCTTTATCACCGTCATCATTATCATCGCAGGCACTGTCATTGTTATCAACGATGGTGTTGTCATCATCATCACTGTCGATACAATGGTATTGTCAGCATCATCACTGCTGGTGTTGAATCTAAGATTATACTCTGGAGCTCAATTTTTTCCAGGAATACTGCTAACCTTCTTGCCCTTCTCAATGTCTCATAGCTTTTCTGCTCTGGAATTCAATTTCTCCCAGGAGCACTGCTGACTTTGTTGCCCTTCTCATAACTTCTGTCCTCCCACCTTCCATTGCCTCTTCCTCCTTACAGTTTCAGGTCATGTCCCAGGTTACATGTTGCTTTTGTTCTTCTCAGACCTCTGCTTGTTTTCCAATTTATGCGTATCATCCTTGTTCAGGGGCCATGCTAATCCTCTCTGTATCGTTGCAATTTTAACGGATGTCCCGAAGGACAACTCGTCTTTTTCTACGCACATGAAAATTAGAGAAAAGAAAGACTCGTTGTTGTACTTCTCTCCAGGTGGTTATACAATGCCACCTTGAAAGAGAAAAGAAAGACTCGATGTTGAACCATGCTCCTATGTCTGTTATGCCCAATGCCTGTTTGCATGGTGTCGCATTTCTGCCTGAACTGTTTGGTCTCTGTTGTCCACATTCATCTACAAAGCCGTTCCTCTCTCCTTGTGGAGAAATGCCCATCACTCTGTCCTTGAATAGTCAATTGCAATCAAGCTTTATATAGTTTCTTTTGTGATCCCGTGCTGGTGGTTTGAGCCACGCTTAATCTAATGCTGCTTCTTACGGCCCTCTGCCTTTCGTGCTTCTCTCCCCCAGTTTCGTAGTTCAAGACTATGTCTCCATCTAGCTCCTCGATTTCCTGTCCTCTAATCATCAGCCTTTCCTGACTTTTTTTTTTTTTTGGACCACTTCTCGATTTATGTGTGTCATCCTTGCGCAGGGGCCATGCTAATCTTCTCTGTATCGTTCCAATTTTAACGGATGTCCCGAAGGACCCTTTCCTGCTTATCACCCCCCGTTTTGTAGTTCAAGACAATGTTACATCCAGCTCGTCTGTTTGCTGTCCTCTCTATCCTGTGCTGATTGCTCTGGTACCCTCTATCTTGCTCCCATTTGCACCCCTCTGGAATATCACTGATCAATAGAAACCGAAAGAATGCTGATCAATAGACCCCAAAGAATGCCTTTTCTCTCAGAACTTGCAGAATATATTCATCCTCGTTCTCATTGTTCTGTATTATGGTTTTCTGCTTTTGCAGGAGCTTTGCGACGCTGTGTGTAGCAGAAATGCAGAAGAGATCTCCAAAGAAGAGAAGACCAGAATACAAGATTGTATCTTGACACTTTCATTTTATTGGTAAGCATGTCAGAAAGCTGCTGAAAAGGCGAAAAGATTCAAAAGAGGAATTAAGTACCATTAAAAAAAAAACTCTTAAAAAGGCACACGGTGTGCGTAATTCACACACCCCTTATGGTGTCTGTCACCCTTACATATCAGCATTGCATGTTGAGGAATGCTCTTTCATGAGCAATTTCTATACGGGAACACTTCAAACCTGAAAGATGAACCAAAACACTCTCAGGAAAAACCAAAGAACTTGAAAAGAAACGGTGCACATCAGAAATACCACCAAAGAACTTGAAACAATGATATACATGAAGAGAGGGTGGGTGGGGGGGGACTTGAGAAGAAGGGTAAACATCAACTTGTTCGCTGTGAGCATGTGTTCCATCAAGTCTTTGAATCCGTTGAGATGCTCCACTGACTTTTTTTTTTTTTTTTTGGTCGACGGACCGCTCCATCTATTGGCGGGGAGCATCACCTGCTGGAAACCGGGTCCAGCGTCCCTCTTAAGAAAAACATGAGATGAGCTGCGGAAGAACACAGGTGCTGGAAACCGGGTCCAGCTTGACTATGTTTATTTTAAATTTCCGTTTCTTCCTTCTCCTTTCTGAATAGCACAACCTCTTGGCCATGGTTCCTTCTGCTCCAGGCGGCATTTCCCCGTTCAATGTGACTCCAGGGAGCATTTCCTCGTTCAATGTGATATGTCAAATGACACTCGTGTGCTTTGTCCTGTTATTGCTTGAAACTCCAATTATCTGGTTAAACTCCCCTTAAACCATGAGTCCCAGCCCCCGCCAGACCGAAAAATGCACTTGTGTGTGTACACAAAGGGCTCGGCCTTCCGGACGCCAACATCCCGAGTACCCCAATTTGGCGACTTTTAATTCTTATTTCCGGCCACAAAAAAATCCGAAACAAATCAGGGATGTAGATTAATTTAAGTCGTGCTGAAACAGAGGAAAAACAATAAAAAGAATTTAATAAAATAAAATAAAGAAAATGGTCTAGGGCCCCAAAAACTATTCGCACCAAAATGACCAAACCAAATGCATATTTCAATGGAAGTCTCTGTCACCCAGGTAGGAGTGACATCTCAGAGGAGATACTTCCTCCTCTGAGATTGCCAACGGTTAGAGGCTTAGAGCCCATTCACCTCGTTTTTCAGAAGAGATGCCATTTCAGGATTCTCAGCACTTCAAGATATTCACGATCTTCAAGTGTGGCCTGAAAATACTGAAGGTTCCGATTTGTAAAGCTTTGGTGTCTGTCCTTGGGACTCCTGCTCCCCAGCCCTCCTCATCAGTTTTCTGATTGGAACTTCCGAATTTTACATGCCGCTTTCTAATGCAGACGGATGCTGCAATTATTTGCCTTACGTGAGGGGTTGAAATGCACCATTTCATGTTTGTTATCATATCATTTATAGTATGAACTTTGAAGTCATTAGTACGACCAACATTAATTGCCTTTCTCACAGTTGTAAAGGTGTTGTTCCATTTCTGTGCTTGCTAGCATGGCTATGTTCTGAACATCTGGGTATCACATGTCAGTGGGTACCATAGGGAGAGAGAAGGTTAACCGAGGCGTGAATTTTCAGAAATTTCTCATGCAATTTATAAGAAAACCCAAAGGCCAGGACCTGAAAATAGGGGGTCCCCGTTAACCCTTAGTGCCCTAGTAGGCTAGTACATTTGTTGCTGCTGCATTTGGCCCAGCAGGAAGTTCCCCTTATCAACTCGGAATTCAAGTTTTGAGCTAGGAAGATTGTCATGCCCAGCCGGGCACCCGGGTGTGTTGCCCAGGGGGGTCTGATGCCCGGGATCTCCGGGCATGGGAAGGAAAAAAAAAAAAAAGGCGGCGGGGGTTTTCCTCGCATGCTGAGAGGAGCCCAAATCCGGGCGGTTTTCGTTTTTTGAGTGTTGGCTGTCAAGGGGGGGAGGGGGGTTATGAATTGGTTTTAAAGGGGCTAAACTTCCGCTAAAGGGTCAGTGTGGGAGGGGGGGTATGAATTGGCTTTAAAGGGGCTAAACTTCCGCTAAAGGGTCAGTGTGATTCCGTTGTTTTCATTTTTATCTTCGTTTGCGTGAGGAATTATGATGTCACCCTCAGCCAGAAGTCGTTTGCATTGCAATTCTACACAACGTTTTTGTTTCTGGAATTTTTTTAGTTTTTTTTTTTTTTTCACAGGGGCTGCCCCGAGCCCAGCCTGGGGGTCATGCCCGGCCGAGCACCCGGGTGTGTATCCAGGCACAAGTTGGGTGCACGGGTTCCTGGAAAAGCAGCCTAGGTTTTGAGCTTGCACTATATTGAGCTGATTTCTTTCGTCATCGGGACACTTTTTTGGTTGATGAATATATTATTCAACAGGTATAACTTTATGCCTCTGGCACGAGGAACAGCAGCTGTTGGGTACATCACCCTCCTTGGCCTCCTCATGGCATGTGGGCTTCAGCCAACAGCAAGAATCCCAAAGGGTGTCCAGGTGAGTTCACTTACAACAGTGAGTGAGTGTGGCCTTGCATCATGCCTCAGCAGGCCCTCAGTCTACCTACCAGTGCAGTGTGTTTGTCCCTTTTGGGTCCATACTTTCTCCGTTGCCCTCCTGGTGTTTGGTATGTTTTAAACCACCACTACCTACAGACCTGACCTGTGAGGCCAACACGGCCAAGCAACATACCAGTTTTTGGCAGTATGGGATGGGGAAATCCGACAATATGCGGTCATGACTTTAGGAAAATGGAAGCTCTTCCATGTAGCTGCCTGTGGGACCGCGCGCTGGGTTTTGGTCGAAACGGTGGCAAAGCAGCGGCAGGGTGGAAAAGTGGAAAAGTCTGAATCGGAAAGGGTGCGGCCTTGGCCGCAGGTTGAAACGACACACCTGCATTGCATTTGCAAGTGCAAACAGATGTGTCTGAACGTGGACGTATTCAACGCCCCACACGTTCAGCGCCCGATTGAGCGAGTCACATGTGACAAAACAACTTTTATTTAATTAAAAAAAAACTTACGACAACAAACACTCAAGCACACACATATATGACATATGGACCAAGATTCAAGGACCACCAGCCTCGACTCCAACTATGAATCAAGGTATGTTAAATATCTAATACATTAATACTATGCAAATTACCTAAATCCCACACATTCCAACACTAACAGATGTGATAACACAAACACCCTAAGTATCACACAAACACACACGCACTAATCTTGACACATACACACAAATACTCCTTTTTTTTATGCAACAATCACCCCACTTCTAAACCTCACCAATAGCGCCTCCTTTATCAATCAAGCATATACAAACTACGGGCTGCGCATCCGTGCCCTCACGGTAAGTCAATTGGTCATAGACCCTGGTGACATGCATCCCCTTAATTGTGAGAGGTAGCTATGTGAAATCAGACTGCACTCCAAACTTACTTTCAACATGCATAAATGCGAACTGATGGCAAACCAAACTCTTTCAACTCAGAAAATCAACAACGAACTTGCACTCAAACTCTGTTCAAGTCAACTGTACAACTTGCGGCTATGCCCGCCGAAAATTGTCTCCACCACCAGCCTCGCTCTCCCTCATGCATGCATGTACGAGGACCTACCTTGAATGTCCACGCTACACAGACACACACACTCTGTACACTCTATCTGTGGCAACAGCTGGGCGGCTATGGCCGCCGTCGTCTTCGTCCTCCTAGCTATGGCCGCCATCGTCTTCCTCCTCCTAGCTATGACCGTCGTTGTCTTCCTCCTGGCCAGCTATGGCCGTCGTCTTTCTCACTGCCCACTTCAGCTCCGGGCACCTGCAGACAGAAGTCACCAAGGCAGCGCTTCCGCATGGCTCACAGGCGAATGAATGAATGGCTGGATGCTGCCTCTTTATTTGTACTTTGTCGGAGGTGGCCGAGCCCTGCCTCAAAACGCGTGGGCCTGGGCCTCTAAATGTGTGGGCCTCGGGTTTGGAAGTTTCCAAACCGTGTGGGCTGCTAGGCGCCAGAACTCGTGTTCCGGAGCCTTCTGCATACCGCGTGACCAGAACCTTCCCCCACGTGCAACCCTTCCCTGATACGTGCTGACTGGACCGGCCTACGAAGACCTACAGCCTTCTAGAGCCTACAGACTGACTCTAGGCCCTCAATAGACTCAAGTAGAGACTTCTAGAACAAACCTTCCTAGGCCAACCGGTAACAGACTCAACTACTAACCTACAGACCTAGCTCTCTCGTAAACGTGTACTATGTCGGGAGCGGTTTCTAAAAGCTCTGTTCTGGTGAGCCATTTGTCGTCCTCTGGTTCCTGATATGCGAACCTGACTTTGTACTGCTTCCGGGGACGACCTCGCCCTCCGGTTCTGAACACGTCCTCTTCCACTATGTGATCTTTATCATAGGCACCATCCATATCTGGTGGAATCATTGACCTTCGTGAAGGAAATCTGTCGCTGGTGGTGCACGACAGTATCTTTGATGGATGGAAGATTGGGTACATGTGGAGATGCGCTGGAATCTCTATAGTGTATGATGGTCCGTCCTCTCCTCCTTTGACTTCTAGGACAGGCCATGGTCCTGTGTACGCAGGTAAGAGCTTTTGCGAGATGTTCTTCTCGGGTGCGAACTCTTTAGACTTGACCCAGACTAAGCCGCCTACCTGAAACTGTGAAGGTCGGCGGTGCTTGTTAGCTTGCTCAATCATACGATGTTGGGCCTTCCTTAGGTTCTCAATCACCTTAGCGACTCCTTGCTCATGCTGCAATGCAAACTCTCGGGTGCTGGGCGGTAATCTATGTATTTGATCCCGGTTCAGTCCTTCAAACGGTCTCCTTGGTCTAAAGGACTTATGCAGCTCGTTACGGGTCCTACAGGTAGCTAGATGAACACTGTTGTTATAGGCACTTGCTACCTTGGGGAGCATCTCATCCCAGTTCACCTGATCCGGTCTAATATACATTCTGAGTAGCTGCTGCAAGATCTTATTCATCTGTTCTGTCTGGCCGTTCGTCTCTGGGTGTCGTCCTGATGACATCAACAACTTAGACCCATAGACTTTCATAAGATCCTGCCAATTCTGGCTGGTAAACCGTGTGTCTCTATCACGTAGACCGTGCTCGCTTACCCAGAAATTGAAAAAGCTTTTCTATAACTAAATCGGTGTGTGCCTCTGAAGGCAAGGGTATGAAAACTGCATGTTTACTAAATTGATCTACTATGACCATAACTTGACTTTTGCCATGCCTACTTCTGACCCCAGTACCCATGAAATCGATGGAAATTGACTCTCCGGGTCTTGACGGAATAGGCAGGGGTATGAGAAGACCTAATGGTGCTCTAGTCGTCGTCTTCTTGCGCTGGCGAACTTTACAGCTGCACACATATTCTATGCAGTCCGCTTTCATGCCTGGCCATGTGCAGGACATCATCAAGTTAGCTAAAGTCTTTTGCCATCCGAAGTGCACCTCCGTATCGTGGCATTCCCCTAGGATCAAACTACGGATCTCTTCACTGTTGGGGACACACAGTCTGTCAGCTACATTGGTCTTCTCAAACAATAGCCCGTTTGTGGTTCGATAGTGCGGCTCGCTATCCGGGGCTTCCCTTACTCTCTTCAACAAATCACAGTAAATCGGGTCTTGTGCATATGCATCTTTGATCTTGTACAGCAGATCGACCCCTATGTCTAGATAGTGCACTATCGTGCCGAAATCATCAGCTCTCCTACTTAGGGCATCGGCTACCACGTTATACTTCCTTTTAACAGGCTTCACCTCGAAGTCAAACTGGTCTATCTCAGCAGCCCATCTAGTCAACTTGGGTGTCATCTTGGCTTGGGTCTTCAACCATCTAAGAGTCTCATGATCTGAATATACCTTGAAGTGCCTCCCAAGCAGGTAGTGCTTCCAGTGGTCTAGGGCCTGCCTAAGAGCGTAGAGTTCTCTCTCGTATGTCAATGCTGCAACTTTCTCTAAGGGCAGCCTGGCTGACATGAACTCTACGGGTCGGTAACCATTGTCGTCATCTTGCTGCAGAATGGTGTCGATGCCATACTGACTCGCATTTGTAGTGACGACAAATGGCAGCGACGGATCAGCAACTTTGAGGATAGGGTACTCTATTAAGTCCTCCTTCAATTTCTTGAAGGCCGACGTGCAATCCTGGTCCCACTTCCAAATTGCTTCTTTCTTTAGTAGTCTACGAAGGGGAGCAGTGATCGTAGAGAAGTTCCTCGCGAACTTCCGGTAGTAGTTAGCCAATCCTAGGAATGATCGTAACTCAGTCAGCGTTCGAGGAGTTGGCCAGTCTCTAATCGATGCAATTTTGTTGTCCTCTGGTCGAATGTCGTCTCCATCTAATATGTGGCCTAAGTCAAGGATTTCGGTCTTGCCCCACTCGCACTTCTTTGCGTTGACTTTGAAGTTAGACTCTCTTAACGTTTCTAGAATCTGCCTCAGATGGCCCTCATGCTCCTCGAGGGTCTTGCTGAACACTAGGATGTCGTCTAAATACACTACGACGAACCTATCTACCCACAGCCTAAATAAGTCGTTCATGCAACACTGAAAGGTGGTCGGTGCGTTAGTTAGTCCAAACGCCATCACTATGAACTCGTAATGCCCATATCTTGTCCTGAACGCTGTCTTGTACTGATCGTCAGGATGAACCTCCATTTGATGGTACCCTGACTTTAAGTCTATCTTCGAGAGGTACTTGCAGCCCTATACTCGATCTAACAAGTCATGTATACGGGGCAACGACTCTGCATTCCTAATCGCGATGGCATTCAGTCCCTGTAGTCTATACACATACGCAACTCTCCCTCTTTCTCTTGGACGAATAGACAGGTGCACCGAAAGGTGATGAACTAGGCCTTATCCATCCTTTCTCCAGAAGCTCATCTAATTGCCTGCGAAGCTCCTCTAGTTCTTTGGGAGACATCATGTAGACTGGCTATTTCGGCGTCCTACTACCAGGTTCTATCTCGATGCGGTGCTGGATCGGTCTTGGCACTACACCTAAAGGTGCTTCAGACAAATCTTTGTACTTTCCAGCAGACTGACAATAGTAGGATGGATCTTCTCTTCTTCCTTTGGCTTGTTAGAAATCGGCCTAACATAGGCTACGAACACCTGCTCTTCGAGCTGCTCCTTCCTTACAAGTCTAGCGAAGGAAGGATCGCTGAGGCAGCAAGTTGCGAGGGGATTATCTACCCCGGACTCATGGTATAGGCGGACTTGCTTGACTTCACCTGACGGACTAGGGAGCCTGCACTCGTGCTCTCTAAGATGCAATGTGGCTCCTGCTGCCTCTCCCCAATCTGTCTCTAAAACTATATTGCACAGGAGATTCTCCTCTACCAGAAGAGTCAAGGAATGAAGGAGCCTTTCTATCTTCCCCTCTTTCTCTAAGCGGAAGTATGCCTGAACTCCCTCGACGTACCCCTCAACTCGCATCCTACTGTTGTCTGCAAGGATGCTGACTACAT